TAGTTGCTTTAAACCCAAGAGTACACTTTAGTTTTATGCATACTCTGTGGTATACACACAGAGTGTGTGTGACATAAATTTAGCCCTTAGCACAGTACACGTGTAATGTATGCATGCAGCCTGAATTTTCTAACCATGCTTATTCTATACGCACAGCTCACATGTTTTCATTGCAGTAATTAGTTGATCCACATAGAGCTGGCAATAAACAATATCATACCAAGATCACAATAAAATACTGTATGTTGATAATAATAAGCTTTGGATATCTAACAATCTATCATGTAGAAGAAATAAAGGCGACAGCAGCAGTCAGTGATTGTGTCTAATAAGTCTGCATGTTCTGTGTCTCTGTGTGAATGAGTGCTGTAGTTTTGTCTGATACACAAACTCAGACGTGTTACACTCGCGGTGATTTCAGCATCTGTCTCTCAATATATGAGGACATGAACACATCAACTTCATCTCCAGAGCTGCTCTGAGAGTCACTTCAGCTTTACACAGTTTCATTTGAGAAAAAAACTACCGTCGTATACACACTGAAACACAAGAATACAAGATCTTCAACCAAATAAAACAAAAAAGGTTTGGTTTAACTTGAAGAAATTATGATAGAAATATTTGTCGTATACTAAAATGTACTTCTGAAAGTAGTAATAATAATATTATTATTTTTAAGGAATATCATAAAACCAAGATATTTTTTTTATTCATGTCTGTTGTGCAGCATCTTATTTGACACAAATTCCACAATGTTGTGTTGGAAATTGTTATATTTCTATTTAATTATATTTTAAACGATTGGTGAAATCTGTTAAAGTTTTATTTCATTAGACACCATGTATGATGATAAATTTGTATCAAATCATAAAACACAGAATTTGGGGGAAAATAAAACTATAACAAAACTATAAAAATTAAGATTTATTTTTGTGATTAATTTTAATATTGAATTATATGAGAAAAATACATTGTGGTAAGATTTTTGGCCATATGTCCTGATGCGTTGTTTCCCAGTCAAAAACTGATGCGAGATAAACACAACTCTAGTTCAAGAGTGCAACATCATCTTTGGGCCAGTTTTACTAAACCGGGCAAATTAGCGCGAGCGCAATTCCAAAAGAGCGCCGATGGGTGTGGACATTTCTGCGGGTGATTTACTAACAACACGCAAATTACAGAATACAGACGCAACATCTCATTTACATATCGACCAACGCAATATACCAAGCGCAGCGCAAATTAGAGCAGTCGCAAATAAAGAAATAAAGAAGCCACAGTACGTTGAAAAGAACCGGAGGCCAAAAAAATGCTAGAAGTTGCATGAGCTGGTTTTGCTTGACTCCTAGTTGAGGGTTCCAAGTCGTCTTTTATTTCCTGAAGCAAATTAAAAAATAACATGGCTTGGCAAACGATATTTTCGTGTTCTTGCATTCCAAATAAATTACGTGTGGAAAAAATCCTCTCCCTTCTACCACGCACTCTCTGATCTCTGCCGAGCACCCTCCTAGCAACAAATTGCAGCCATTTCAAGCACAAAATAGTTTGACATGCTTTTTTTGGGCATTAAATAATGGCGCAAATACCAGTAATTTGACGACCGCAAACGTTAGTAAAGCGCGTTGAGTGATTCATTTGAATACTCTCCTCCCATAACTATTGCATCTAGAAGGTTAACTCCTACAAATGCATATTCAATAAAGTCAGGCACAAAAATAACTGTCCACACCTTTTCAGCGCTAATTCTTCACTGCGTGTCTTTAGTAAAACCTGACAGTACTATTTTAACACCAAAAGACTGTTTGCGCTGGCCCTTTATCGGTCGCTAACTTCAGGAGAGAAATAGCGCAGACACCAGCCAGAGATGAAACTGCATGTGTCGAGCGCGTTCACACACGTTATCAAATAGAGTGTCCATTGAGAGGCTACATGATTGGCTGTGCTTGTTTACCAAGAATTTCTGTAAAAAACAAAGTATACTTTACAAATGCTAGTCTGTGGCAAAAAGCTGCTTGTAGCCAACGAACACATTTCACACTAGTTTGAAACCGATGTAACCGGCCAGCATTTAGGGGTTTTGGGATTGTTGCTACAGACAGGAGGAGAATGATGTTGTAATCTATACCTAGTTTGTATTTAGTTGTGGAAAATGGTCACCAGCACAACAGAAAACAATAAACTGTGAGGATTAAATGTGCACAGGGGGCGTCTTTCTGCCTTGCATGCGCTTGGACTCAGCTCTGGTAATCATTCAAGCGTAGGTTGGACAACTTGGCAACTGCGTGTCAACCCATTTAAGGCTACATACCACCCTTATGATGGCTGTGGCTTGTGGAGATATGATCTCAGATCAGGTTGGAGAGTGCAGGGGATTTCATGTCTGCTCGATAAGGCTGAGGCCTGTATGACTGTGTTTATTTGAACTCTGTCTGGCTCTCTACTTACTATGAGCTCACACTTCTCAGGCTGAGCTTAGCCAGGCCCGACGCCTCTTCTCTTTGCTCTCTTGCTGTCACTTTCTCTGTTTTCCCATCATGCAGTCCTGTTGCATTTCTCACCTCCGCACCATTGTGTCATCTCTCATGTCTCTGTGAAGAGCCGAGGCCTCGGACTCAACACACTGGGGCCAGAAACGGTTTTAAAACTAAAAGAACAATCCTCCATGGACACATTGGCCGTTAAGGGTCTGGAGTTTGGGAAGCTCTGCTCTACCTAATGAGTAGTTTATTTTCCTTGGTTTGTTTGCTACATTGCAGAGATCTACAAATCATAGGTTTGCCAAAACAAACAAATCCCCTCCTGAGATGTTTCTTTCATCCGCAGTTGTCAGGATGGGACCACTCGACGGAAGATGTTTGTTTTGATCTGAAGCTTGAGTTACTCAATCCAGATGTGCTTTCCCAGAGTTGAGTAATTCTGCCGTCAAACGCAGGGGTCAATGCTGTGGCAGTTTGATCTTGACCAGTCAGCTCGTGTTTATCTTGTCCCATCTGAAAATAAGACGAAAAACTTTAGCTAAAACAAAAAATGTGTACAAATGCAACGAAATGAGAATTCTTGCTGGAACCAAACATTCTGAAGCAGCTTCAAACATGGCTCGTGCATTGCATTTTGATGTTAATAAAGCAATATCACATGAGCCAGTGTTTTAGAATACTTCATAGAACAAGTATGTAAAGAGGACAAGTATTTAAATAAGAAAAAGATGAAGATCCTCTTGTGTGTGGGAACGACTGTCTTGCGCCACAGATTCAGGATCTGCCAACTAGGTTCAAAAGTGTCCCAGATTCTGTTACCAAATTGAAAAAGTCACATTAACAACAAGGGTTTTTAAGGAGTAACAAGGAGACAGCACAATAATTGTATTTTTGCTTTTTTTACGCAACAGTTCAATAAATATGAGTTGAAATTGAGTAACTTGCATATTAGAAACAACGGACCCTTTTAATACTGTTAATGCAAAGTTTTGCTCCTATCCATCTATCCATCTATCTATCTATCTATCTATACCTTGCAATAAATACATCTTGGTATTAAACTACAAAATAAATAAATAAAATAGTTACCACTGCTGCAAGGGTGTTTCTAATACAACAGCTGATTGCCGTAATCAATCTCTTGATAATTTTTCCATCTTTCCATCTTTTATTTTGCTATTGGATTAAACTAGAATGTAAAAATCACATTTGCTGTAGTTTCCTCATTTCAAATTCCACATCTGGCACCCTAAGTGATCCACCTTGACTTACTTGATTCAGTGACTTTGGACAAATTGGTTGAGTGAATAATTCAGTGACTCATTTCAGGGCTCCAGACTGCGATTAAAAATATTAATTTGCGAGTTAGGTTTTTGCTGAGGTCGCCATTGGCGACTATATATATTTACCTGTTATGACTTAAAAATGTGCATGTAATGCATTTTTCCTGATTGTTTTACGATGCACATCAAAGTTTTAGTGGAAAAAAGGGTTTCAAACAGTCATCTCTGCAGCACAGCAGCGCTGACACACACCTGATAAACGCAGCTCAGTTGTACAGCGTGAGAGAGATCAAAATGACGGACACGTGCAAGTAAAAGTGTGGAAAAGCAGCACCATTATCGCAAAATGCTTTACTGTTTAATAAACAAAGTATCAGTTTTAAAATGATGCCAAATTCATAACGAAATTCAAACAATAAATACAGTTTTGGTGCTCTTTAATACAGCAGGCGCGATCGCTTTAGCGCCTCAGTTCAGGCAACAAGTGAACCCATTATATCTTTGTCTTTACTACTGTAGTGCATAATGAACATGAATTAACATCAAAACGTAGCCTATTTTATAAGAAAGCCTACAGTAGAACTTACTGAAAAATGTCTCATTTAAAACCTCAAACTGCGAAAAACGTGTAAAACTTGTTAATATACATTTACCTCAGAATAACCATTCGGTGTCCATAAGCTCATCAGTCAGCTAGAAAAATAACTATAAAGAAGAGCATTTTGCTATATTTATGCACTATTGGATGTTAATATTTTACTTAACCTGTTGTCTACATGATTCAACTTCTCTTATACAAAATTGCATTTTACTAATGAAGAAAAACAGACTGAATGTGTGAAAGACATATGCCAACACTTATAGGATGCACTGAGGAGGAGCCCAAACTACACTCAATGGCCAAGTGATGCTTGTTATGGTCCATGATATTTGTACCGATTCTGTGTCATGAACAATTCTTTGACTATATATTTCAAGTTGGAAAAGATGATGTAAAATTGATATTTGACTTGTTTCCATTCACAGCGGGGGTTTTTTTCTTTGCGATTTTGAGTCCCGATGTGTGTAGAAACCCACACATCAGTTAAACCTTTAAATGGTTTCAGTGTCTCAAGCTGTTAGTATCCATCACAGTCATCTCAGCGAGGATGGGGGGGTTGATTTCTTCTCAAGCCTGCATTGATGCTCAGGGTCCTCACCTTTGACCCCTCTAACAGCCTTCCTTGCCCTTTTCCCTCAGGTTATTTCCTGGAGTTTGTGGAGCCACCAAACAATATAACTATAGTGCAGGGCCAGACGGTCACTTTACACTGCAAAGTGGCGGGCCACCCGTGGCCCAGCATCCGCTGGCTTAAGAATGACGCCCCGGTGGTGCAGGAGCAGGGCCGAGTCTCCATCCGCAAGACAGAGGCTGGATCCAAGCTCCGCATTCAAGACCTGGACACCACCGACACCGGATACTACCAGTGTGTGGCTTCAAACTCCATCAAAGTCATTGCAGCTACTGGAGTGCTCTATGTGCGACTGGGGAGTGGAGGTAAATGATTGCTTTTTAATCTCATTTTAATTATTTTCTGAAGACTTTTAAACTCCAAACCAACATTACATTTAAAGCAAAATAATATATTAACATTGGAAAGAAGAAGGTCAAGGCAAGATTGTTTGGTAACACTCTAGTATAGGGACCAATTCTCACTATTAACTAGTTGTTTATTAGCATACCTATTATTAACATAGTGGCTGTTTATTAGTGTTTATAAAGCACATATTCTACATGAGCATATTCTACATCCATAATACCTCAACTTAACAACTACCTTACTAACTATTAATAAGCAGCTAATTAGGAGTTTATTGAAGCAGAAGTCATAGTTAATGGTTTGATAAATAGCGAAAATTGGACCTTAAAATAAAGTGTGACCGATTGTATATTTAGCATATTATTTAAGGAGAAATTACTGGATGTGATCAGATAAAATGAAGGAATGACATGCATTAATTGAAAAAAAAAATACAGTTTTGCAAAATATGTAAATGTATACTTGTATTGTAAATACACTACAGTTTTTCAGCAAAGACCGATTAAATTCAAATCAGATCAAAGGCATTTATAATATTACAAAAGATTATTTCAAATTAACGCTGTTCTTTTGAACTTTTTATTCATCACAAAATATAGAAAAATGCATCACGGTTTACACAAAACTTAAGCAGCACAACACTGACAAAAGAAAATGTTTCTTGAGCAGAAAATGAGCATATTAGAATGATTTCTGAAGGAATATATGACACTGTAGACTGGAGTAATGATGCTGAAAATTCAGCTTTGAGCACAGCAATAAATGTAATTTTATAATATACTGAAATGGAAAACATATTTTCTAAATTGTACAATAAATGGTCTTTTGCTTTCTGATTGGTTGAGCTCTCTTCAGAATTATGGGTAGTGTAGTTCTTCAGGAATTCTTCAGAAGAATTATATTAAAATCACATTGACTTATAGCTTGAGCATATTTCATTCTTCTTTTTGCAAAATATGTAAATGTATACTTGTATTGTAAATACACTACAGTTTTTCAGCAAAGACCGATTAAATTGATCAAAGGCATTTATAATATTACAAAAGATTATTTCAAATTAACGCTGTTCTTTTGAACTTTTTATTCATCACAAAATATAGAAAAATGCATCACGGTTTACACAAAACTTAAGCAGCACAACACTGACAAAAGAAAATGTTTCTTGAGCAGAAAATGAGCATATTAGAATGATTTCTGAAGGAATATATGACACTGTAGACTGGAGTAATGATGCTGAAAATTCAGCTTTGAGCACAGCAATAAATGTAATTTTATAATATACTGAAATGGAAAACATATTTTCTAAATTGTACAATAAATGGTCTTTTGCTTTCTGATTGGTTGAGCTCTCTTCAGAATTATGGGTAGTGTAGTTCTTCAGGAATTCTTCAGAAGAATTATATTAAAATCACATTGACTTATAGCTTGAGCATATTTCATTCTTCAGCTTTGTAGGTCTCTCTTGAAAGCTTTATACACTGCCGTTAAAAATCAATTTCTGTATGGGTAAAACGAATGGGAGTTTTACTTCCAGTACCCCGCTGTTGCACTCCATGGGAAGACGGCACAAATTTCCATTCATTTCTGTCAGGTCAGAGATTTGTTGGGCAAGTTTGTGCTTTTAATGCATAGTTATTTTTGGAAATGATTGCCGTCACATGAAACCCAGCTCAATTAAATATACCTGTGTGGCATCCCATTATAAACTCCTCTCAGACATTTAGTTGTAGTGTTTTCTTTCCTGTTCACCTATTTTGGCTTATTTTGGGAGTCCGTTGATTTACAGACAGACTAAAGCAGCAGTGTTTTACAACCATATGCACCAAATCTCACCCTGGCATCCCTGGATATTTATAGGAAAGCAGCAGCATAAATCTCAGTGTTCCTGCATTAGGACTCAACTTAAGAAACAACTTCCCACTGTTTCCTTCTAGGTGAAAAAATCCCTTTTATGTGCATACGGTAAATTCTCCACAAGGAGCGTGTCCGATGTGAAATACATTATGCTTTTGACAGGTTTAGGAGCTTGCTTGCGCCGTGCCTCCTGCTTCTCTGAAAAGTCATCTTGGCTTAATAACATTGCAGCTTCCCTTGAACTGAAATGGCAAATTAGGATTTGTGAAAACAGCTGCTCCCGAAGGGAAGATCGTGTTAAGACGCTTGTCTGTAATTCCTCCTATCTGTGTTTTACAGGACAGTCACCGGCCCATGGAGGAGAAGACTCGTAAGTACTGCTTTTGTCAGTTTGTCTCCGTGTGCATTTGCATTTTTCTGCTGTTAGTGTTTCTGTAAATAAATGTTTCATCATTTCCACACAGTAAATTGTTTATTCCAACCCACTGACCGCAAAAATACTCACCCAACAAATGGCCTAAGGTTTGATGAATTTTAAGAATTAATTTTGAAAAGAGTAAGATGTTGGCCGAATTCACCACATTTCTGCTTAAAATGCCCAGATCGTGTGTGAACTGTAGCTTTAGAAGATTATCTGATTGATTTGACAAATTTTGTTTAGTGCAAAGCTCTTTGCTGTCTTATAATATGGTAAATAAGTGTCATCTACATATTCATACTCTTTCTCGTACACTCTTTCTATTTGCTCTGTTGCTACGGCATATATAACCTGATTTGTGGAAATAAAGCAGGACCTGAACCATAAACGCAGACCTGTATCCTGGCTTGAAGCAGTAAATCTGACTTAACTTCCTTAAGAGCCGAAGAGAGGGCTGGCAGACACCTTCGGTTGGGGAAGTTTTGTGGCAGGTCCTAATGTTTCATTTTCCAGGTTAAATAAATGGTAGTGTAATGTCTGTGGGGATGTTTTCAGGGCAGTGCTCATGTTAATATGATTCATTCCTGCATACTGACTTACTGTAGAGCAGTGCTATAATGGTGCAGTCACGTTTCTGTTGTACGGCAAATTTTTGTGGCCACATCCAGTCATTTCAATAAGAAATGACAAAATCCGGAAATATGTGTGAGGGTGAAAAAGATTGGTTGACTGCACGGACCGATGGAAAGCTGTTTGGTTTAATAATGACTTCTGTGTGAGCTGTGCTTCATTTATCGCTAGACTATTAACAATGAACTTTTTCCCTGTGGAGTTTGGCCAAAATCTTGCTAATGTGACCGCATCTAGAGTGAAGTTCAGTAAATGGAGTTGGACATTGAAGTCTTCAGAAAGAACAGGAGTAAAAGAACATTGAATGTATAGTGTACAAGTCAAATGGACCACGTTTTTGGGGCTTTTTCCAAAATTTTATTAGAGCTGTATTAGTATCTTGTTGTGGTGCGCTTTCTCAACACATCTCAGAAAGATCATGTGTTAGGGATGCATGCAGCATGCATGATCATTTATGCTACACATGCGTTGTGGTCTCAGGTACCGTGTGTCGTTTTAGTGATCTGATCACACCTGTATTTAGCACTCGCTGCAAAAACAAAATTGCATGTTGATTTCAGGTGGAAAAGTGGTCTTGTCCTGTTTCCACTGGGTACTGAGTTGAGATGAGAACTGCAGTCATATGTGTGGGCCTTCAGCAGGCAGAAGCATTTTGGTGGTCAAATTTACAGTGTTTGTCTTCCTTCAGTTCCTAGTACTGCATATGTAAATCTCAGCTAGACAGCACATCCTGTGTTCAGCGCTTAGATCCACACTCTAGTAGTGACATACAGAGTTCTGGCATGAAACTCTAGATGGCGCAGTCCGATAGGTCTAACTCAATCTGACCTAATGACATCATTATCACATGGCACAGCTGATTGGTTCTCTCCTGTATCAGTAGCCAATGAGCCCGCTGCTCAACATTCAAATATATGACTAGGGCTTACTGTAGCAGTTGCAGCTTGCTTCAGAAACCCTCCACCTTCCCCAGCTCCACCTGTATAGATCTGCTATGAGGTGATTCATGTATGCTATATGGGGTTATTTCATGTATGTTATATTTGCAGCAGCAATTTTTCTTACATGCTCACAGCAGCATGTTGTGGATGTATTGGCAGTAGCAAGTCTCAGTACTTGCTCTGCCGCAGCAGCAGCGTAGCGGATCTATTCCGCCAAGACCAAATACATTAACATTGTCATGTACATTGCCATGCCAATCCCTCCGAGAGTTGTCATGACAGAAGTGAGGTTCAGCAAACGCCTTGACATTAACCTCCATGTTAACTTTTCTTCCTGCACTGACCAGTTCAAAACAGATGTTTTTATCAGGAATACAACATTTGTCCAAGTGTTAAACACGTAAAAATTATTCCTGGCTTTATGTAAATGTAAGGAGAACATACCATGCTGTGCTAGAAAGTGCTTTTCCCTTGTGCAGTGCACAGATTCTTTGAAGTTATATTGTCTTAGAGCTCTCTGCATGAATGAAGTTCCCAGACTGCATTTGTTCTGAAGGATGGTGAGGATCATTTGTGGTTAGAGTCATCAAAGAAAGCCGTTATCCAAGTAGAAGAGCATTGAGAAGCACATGTACACATATTTGATAAAGGCAGCGTATTGTTTTTCTCTGCATAAATGGTTACAGATGAGCATGAGAAGCACAAATCTCCAGTCGTGTTGCTTACAGCTCGACAGCCTCGTTGTCTTTCACACTGATGTGTGTGTGAATGTTCAAAATGTCGTTCTCAAGCTTTTCTTGAAAGGGCAAACTTTTATGCAAAACTAATATCCAGTTCTTGTAAACTTTGCACTGCTTACAGCCATCAGGGAAAGAATGCTTTGCATTGATTTAATGCAATATTTTCAACAAAACTTAGGAAGTAAATCTGAATCTTGTTAGGCTCGAGTCCTCAAACATTAGCTCGAGAGAAAATTCCTTGCTCAATCCAAACTGCAGTGAAATTGTAACCATATGTGATATTGAGGCTGGCCGTAGCAGAAGTTTGGGGCATTGATGGTTACGCTGGCAAAATGCCACAGTTAGGAGCAAAATCAAATGGGAATAGTGCAAAATTCCTTCTGAGATCAGTTGTTTTAGCAACATGTTTCAAAAGAGTTATACTGTCTTCTGGCCAATTTCAAACATAGCTTTTATTAGGGGTGTAAAAATTGTACTGAAAATTTTCGGTATGGGTCTTTCAGTTCTGTACGCATGTGTACCGAACAAATACAGCATTGTTTTAACCACTACACGAGTGGAACTTCATTGGAAACTTACAGTTTTATACATTGTTACTTTTGATAAGAAACAAAGACTCATCTTTCAAATTATGTCTTTTTTTTCAGGAAATTCAAACAATAAATGCCATTTTGCCGCTCTTTGATGTGGTGTGACGGATCGCTGTATAAACGGATCAACGCTTCCTCTTTACTGCAAGTTTTAACGTGAAATAAACATGAATGAACATCTCATGCCTCATGTAATCGCTCAGTGTTTCAACCGTGGAAAGACGTCAAACAAAATGTTGCTTAGCATTTCATTTACCTCGGGCATGTCATCAGTGTCCACAGCTCGTTAGTTCGCTAGAGAAATTAAGTCTACACATGCGCACCAAACCGAAAGTTTTCGGTACGAATAAGTGTATCGTTACACCCCTAGCTTTGATGTATCCTTCGCACATTTCATTGAGCTTGTGAGAAAAGATGTATTGAAAAATATTGATTATACACACAAAATCGAGTTTGTGGAGGGTAGCATTTTTTTCTTTCTTTGTTTTTTAAGACACACTTTTATCCAACACTGATGTGTTAAACTGATAAAGACTGACTGTAAGGACTTTTACATTGCATATACATACACTTTACATACATAATTCATTTGTTCTGTAGAGCTTTTTAATCAAAGAATCCTGAAAAAAAACTGTCAACAGTTTCCACAAAAATATTAAGCAAATCAGCATATTATACTGATTTCTGAAAATCATGTGACACTGAAGACTGCAGTAATGATGCTGCAAATTCAGCTTTCCATCACAGAAAAAACTAACATAGAAAACAGTTATTTTAAATTGTAGTAATAATTCAGAATATACTGTATTTTTGATCAAATAAATGCAGCTCTGGTGAACATTAGCAACTTCTTTCAAATACATTAGAAAATCCTATCTACACTAACTTTTGAACAGTAGGTGGTGCTTACAACTCATTTCATATCAAATTATAGAGAGTAAAGCCGTTTGAACGGCTAGAAATAACTTTAAATGAGTGTTTGTGAATATTTCACTTACATATTTGTAAGTCGCTTTGGATAACAGCATCTGCTAAATGATTAAATGTAAAGGAATATTTTGGCCAGTATTTGTGTGTACTGTGTATTTTTATGTTTAGAGTTTCTTGCTAGCGTCATGCTCTTAGTTTTAACCACCAGAGTTTGCATTTGTTCCAAATGCATCACTTACAAGGTTTGATTTTGGTTGGGACGCTGCCTTAGAAGGGAGACAGGAGACTCTCTTTGGATCAGAGCCTGACTCCGTATCGTGTTTTAGCTCTGGAAATCTCTGCTGTTGTGAGTTGACAGTTCATTGTGAGACTAAAACAAATGTGTCTGTTGTGGAGACGAGAAAAAAAAGAAGCCTCCAGAATCCAACTCCAGCCAGTTCCCGAGTCATCACATAAAGCTATTTGTGTTTGGCCAGAATAGACCACTTTTATCCAGTTGGTAACGGCATAAACAGCAGAGATGGATATCCTGAGCAGCAAATACTGGTGATTTTGGTCACTTCACATTCAGATTATGACGAGAGAAACAGCAAAGCCCCAAAGGTAGCATAATAAACAACCATCGAAAGCTCTTCAGAAGTGCTCCAATCATAACACTCAAACGGTCCGCAGTGAATACACTTCTGAATCGCTTTGGCTCAATGCGAGCACCTAGATTTCACGACTTTGTGAATAAGAGGTCACGAGATGCATGGAGACTCCCTTAACGTTCATTAATGTGGTCTCTTTGCTGAAGCCAGCTGGATATTCTTTTAACATTAGCATTAGAAAGCTTACAAATTGGCCAGTCTAGATGGCAATAATCCTACACGACTCACATCCTTGAAAAACGATTAAGTTCAAATGATGGCATAAGCTAAATATAAATAATAATACAAAATTAGCAGTGAAAGGTCATAAACGCATTGTGATATGCGGTGTTTGATGTTAGAAATTCCAAATTGTTGTCCTTTGTGGGACTGACTGTACAGTGTACCACTTTAGGCAAGTTGACTCACTTAATATCAGCTCTGTGTGTCTTTCAGGAAAGTTATCATCTTGTTCATCACTGTCTGTCATTGTCTTTTCTCAGAACGCACGAGAAGGGCTTCTGCCAGCCGTACCGTGGCATCGCGTGCGCTCGCTTCATAGGGAACAGGAGTATCTACGTGGAGTCTCTGCAGATGCAGGGAGAAAGTGAAAACCGCATCACTGGTGAGCGCTGCTGGGAACACAAGCACAGTTTATCAGCACATAAACACTATAGGTCAAAAGCATAGACTGTATAAAAACATGGACTTAGTGTCTGTGACGTCACCCGTAGGTTTCTGAAGAGCGTTTTTGAAGCTCAAAGTAGGCGGAGCCGGCCATCGCCATCTTGGCAGCGCGTCACTCCCGGATAATCGAAAATGGGCAAAGAGGCGGGAGCTGGCTGCTGAAACCACGCCCACCTAGCTCGACGGTGGTGACCGCAGCGGCAATCCACCTGTCACTCAAGTGGCCACGCCCTTAATTATGCAGAACTTTAAGGCTTAATATAATTTAAACGGATGAGTTATAAAAACATTCACCCTCCTCACAGTTGTCATGAAGGACAAAATTAGCTATATAGACCAAAACCGCTTTTTGTACCAGACTGTAAACATGTTTTTTCCTGCTGTAAAGTTGGGCATTTTAACATGGGGAGTCTAAGGCACTGACTCTCTTGCAGCCCGCCTCTAGCGGCCAGTCGATGAATTACAGTTTAAGTCACTTCCGTGCTGGCTTCACGAGAGAGAGAGCAGAAGGCTGCCGCTTGGTCAAGTTTGGAAGAAGTTGTATTTTCAAAGCCTATTAAATGTTTGTTGTAATTATGAATAACTGTAATTAATGGCTGAAACTGAAGGAAAAGTGCATTTAATAGATGCCGCTTTTATGCATTTAAAATATCATCTTTATATTTGTTTCTACATTAATTTGGAGATTCAGTGTGAAATTATGACTATCAATATATGAATGTTATTAATTGTGGTTAATTACAGAAAAATGTGTATTTGTTTAATCGATTGACAGAATTGTTTTCTATTTGAATAGATCTTCAAATGTAATTTATTCCTTTGATGGTAAGGCTGAATTTTCAGCATCATTACTCAAGTCTTCAGTGTCACATGATACTTCAGAAAGCATTCATAATAATCACATCAGTATTAATAATGGTTCTTCCTATTATCAATGTTGAAAACCGTTTTTGCTGCTTAAGATTTTTATTCAGGATTCTTTAATTTAATAGAAAGTTCAAAAGAATACATTTAAAATGTCCTTACGGTTACTTTTGATCAATTTAATGCTGAATAAATGTATTCATTTATTTTTTAACATCAACAACAAAAAGATGCAGCAAAAACTATTTTCAGTATTTATGATATGAAATATGAAACACCAAATCAGCATATTATACTGATTTCTGAAGATCATGTGACACTGAAGACTGGAGTAATGATGCTGAAAATACAACTGCGCATCACAGGAATAAATTACATTTTAGAATATTTTAACAGTTATTTTACATTGTAATAATATATTACAATATTACTTATTCATATTTCGCTGTTCTTTTTATCAAGTAAATACAGCCTTGGTGAGTTTAAAAGACTTCTTTTTCAAAAACATTTAAAACATTTGAATTATTCCAGGTACACATGGTTCCAAAAAGGGCATTTTCAGAGTGCTGGCGTAGAACAGTGGTCTCAAACTCAATTCCTGGAGGGCCACAGCGCTGCAGAGTTTAGCTCCAAATCACACCTGCTTGGAAGTTTCTAGTGATCCTGAAGACACTGATTAGCTGGATCAAGTGTGATTAGGGTTGGAGCTAAACTGTGCAGAGCTGTGGCCCTATGCCATAGAAGAACCATTTTGGATTCCCCAAACAACCTTTTCTTAAAATAGCAATTATAGTGTGAAAAACATTTAAACAACATTCAAAATAATTAAAAGAACTATTTGTTCACTATAAAGAACTTTTGTGCATTGAAAAGTTTCCTTGAATGTTAAAGGTTCTTCATGGAACCCACAATGCCTGTAAAGACCCTTTAATTTAAAGAGTGTAGTGCGTCATGATCATAGACACACACCTTACATTCTGCTGTTCTCATTAATTTTCATTGTGTTGTTCTCCAGCGGCCTTCACGATGATTGGCACCTCGACCCAGCTATCAGACCAGTGCTCTGAATTTGCCATCCCGTCCTTCTGCTATTACGTCTTCCCGTTGTGCGAGGAGGGCACCAGAGGTCCATGGCGGCGCCAGCTCTGCCGCGACGAGTGCGAGGCTCTGGAGAACGACTTGTGCAATGCAGAGTACACCATCGCACGCTCCAACCCTCTCATCCTCATGCAACTCGAGCTGCCCGCATGCAACCTGCTTCCCCACCCCGGCTCGCCAGAAGCTGCCAGCTGCATTCGCATCGGCCTGCCACCGCAGTGTAGGTTGACTTGACTGAACTCGAAACCATAAAATGGGGTTAAGAGCCAAGGAAGACTCGAGGGAGGGTTTAATAAGCATGAAATCCAATTTAATTGGCTCCTAAGCACCCTCAATGAGCAATTAAAGCGAGAGGGGGCCCTCTTGTGGTGCATCTAAAATTTCTTGATATATAAATTGTCTATAACACACAAATGAATATTTCAGTTACTCTGATTTTTATTTCATGGTTTGAGAGAAAACGCTTTCTAATTTTCAATCCTTGTTAAAGATTCACCCCCAAATCACAGCTGTTACAACGGAAGTGGCGCCAACTACAAAGGCACGGTCAGTGTCACTAAATCAGGCTACCAGTGTCAGCCGTGGAGCGCACCGTATCCACACAGTCATCATCTGACGCCTGTTGAGTACCCTGAGCTCAGAGGAGGCCACAATTTCTGCAGGAACCCCGGAGGGCAAATGGAGAGCCCTTGGTGTTTCACTTTGGACCCTAATGTTAGAGTGGACGTCTGTGACATTCAGCCCTGCAGTGAGTAGATTATCTTTATGACCCTCATGGGCAGGAAAATAACTACTTTGTGGTTTTTGTTGTTCTAAATTTTCTTTTTCATTTTTTTCCCCCAGAGCCTCCGGAGAAAATGAAAAAAGAGATACTGTACATCTTAATCCCCAGTATAGCCACCCCTCTTGTTATTGCCTGCTTATTCTTCTTGATCTGCATGTGCCGCAACAAACAGAAAGAGTCTGCTGACACCCCCACTCGCCGCCAACTCACAGCCTCACCGAGTCAAGAAATGGAGCTGCCTCTACTTAACCAGCACAAGCATCAGGTAATCTTCTATAATTTCTGCCTTTGAAGGTTAATTGAAGTTGCAATCAAAATCTGCATGCAATTTTTGCATTCACAGGTCAAATTGGACCCAACTGAACATAAGATGATAAATTGGTAATGACTTAATATTTTAAATTATAATAGTTTAAGTTTTGCATAGTAGTTTTATCATGTTATTACTACATTTATTACCATGTTATTACTACATGATCGTTTTTATTAATGAAAACATTGAGAAATTACAAAAACAAAATCTGTATGAAATTGATGAGAATATATAATCTGAGTTTGCAATATTAATTCAATGAATTAAAACAATGTCATGTATTCAATAATTAATTTGTTTGTACTTACAAGTTATGACTGCTCAAATATAGTCCAAATTATTAATTTTTTTAACACAACATCAATATTACTCTTTAAATGTTTTCAAAGAAAATAATCATTTTATTCATTCATTTCATCTATAAAAACTTTCATATTTTTCTTTCTGCAGTGGTTCATCAATAGGTGGCCATATCCATGTTTAGCAACAAAATCCAGTCCTAAACGTGTGTGTGAGATATGGGAATGAGGCTAAATACATTTTACTAAACCGTTTTTGAGAAAAATGTAACTCATTAATGTAAAAAAAAAAAAGGCTGCATAACATCATGTAAAACCTCAGTTCCAAATGTACCCAAGTGCAAAAGCTACAACTCTTTTTAAATGTTGTATCTCTTAAAAAAAAAAAAATTTTAAATGTTGTGTAATACTTTAAATACAATGTTTGGTTCCCTTACTAAGAACTCTGCATTTTTAGAAGTCATTAATCTCTTCCAGGTTCAAATGAACCTTGATGTATCATGATTAGTGAGCCAATGCCAGTTAGGTTTTGTCATTATATCCGATCCATAACTGCACATTTCGCCTCTTCCATTGAGCACAAGCAGACTTGATGATGGTTTATTGTCTTTAATTCCTAGGCGAAGCTACGAGAACTCAACCTGTCTGCAGTTCGGTTCATGGAAGAGCTTGGAGAGGACCGTTTCGGAAAAGTCTACAAAGGTCACCTCTACGGTACGGCTCCAGGTGAACAGACCCAGGTGGTGGCTATAAAGACGGTCAAAGACAAGGACGAGGGTCTTTCTGTTGTAAAGATTTGTAATTTATGCCATTGATTCTCTTGAAGATTTGTAACTGGTTTGTAATGTTCTTTGTCTTATTTTGTTTAGCCTGTAGTATTACTTTAAATTCATACCAACCGGAAACTTGCTTTCTTCCCAGATGTTATTAACAAACATTAACCATATATTTTGTTCATCCAGTCACGTGGAGAATCCAATAAAGTAATAGATAATATGATATTACTTGTGGGGTTTCCTCAACTTGTATACAGTCAAAGCTACAATCTAGACATTGGAAAAGCATTTTGCTATGATATTGTAATTAAAATAGCACAATCGTGTATTTTATATGACTCATTATATGTACTTAGTAAAAGATTAAGTAACTGAGTGAGTGGTGTGTGCTGGTTCATGTTAACCAATGACTGTAAAGTAGGTGTTCTTATTTCCCAAGAAAGGCGGGACCAAAGTAATAACTGATATATTCTTCACTTTTGCCAGACAAACTGCAAATAATTTACACACACTTGCATACAGAACTGCTACTTCTGCAGTAATACGCGTTTGCCTGCTGAGATGTCAACAGGTGCTTGTTGCTCCACGCAGGATGAACTGGCTCGCATCAGCAGTTTACGGAATGCATGCCAGTTTCACGCGGCGCCCAGCCTCCGTGCAAACAGTGGGACGCGACGGAAAAGACAGTTTACGCCTGATGAGCAGAAAGACGGTAATTACTGGCTCAAACGAACTCGTAATAACGAAGCTGCGAAGAGGTCTCGCCAGCGCAAGAGGATGGAGGGACATCTTCTGGAGTCGCGCGCCGTCGAGCTTCAACGAGAGAATGACAAATTAAAGGCTGCGCTCTCTGCAGTCCAGCATCACAGCACGGCTCAAAGTAACCCGATGCCTGCTGCTTCTGGGTTCCCTCTTGGACTGCCAAATGGCTGTTATCCGCGCAGTTTTGCCGTTCCTACAACTGTGTTCCCACTGCGCAGTCTGCCTCTTTGCCCATTTTCTGGTTGTTGCGGAACAGTATGTCCTGAAACAAATCTTTTTCGCTCGGTTTTGGATTCGGCATCATACCCTTTGCTGAAAAACTCTGCCGATAATAATAATACTACGAAATCCCCGCGCATCAGTTTATTGGATGGCTCTCATCCAGTGGGCAGGTACAGTCATGGAACCAATGCATGCACCAGCCGAGCGTATGTGAGGAATAGAGATTTTGCGAATGGAAACGACTCGGCTCAAACGACGCACGAGCTGCCGGAGGACAGAAACGCATTGGCCAACCTGTCGCGCGGTTATATTTCCAAAACATCGCCTTCTGATGCGGCGCAGAATTACGCGCGGCAGCCTGCACCGATCGGGGGTGAAACGCAAACAAATGCAGAGGAACGAACTTGCCAACAACAAGCGACCGCGCAGTCCGTTCTGCTGCCGCACAAACTGCGCTACAAAGCCGGTATCGCAAGGTTTGCGTCCACAAACTTTCCATCATAATGGAAACCAAGAGAGGCAGACAAGGCGTTCATGCTTGTCATTTTTATTGCATTTGTTTAATTGCTCACATTTAAGTAAAAAATCACTTACCTTGCACTGTGAATCTGTAGTTGTAATACCTCCTAAATAAAAGGTATTGTTTCTGCACAAGTGAGTGCTTTTTATGTGTTATGCATTGAACGTTTTTCTTGACTGCATGATCAACATCTAAACGTATGCATCTTACTTTCAAAATCCATATGAAATATAAAGGAAAACTCGATGCTGCTTGGTATAATATTGTTCGGTTATTTCTAAATGTGCACTTGAACGAATGTCAGCGCAATTGAAACCTGCTGCTTTTTCCACTGGATGGCGCACTCATACACGTCTTATTTAATGTAGGTCATCTTGGGCGCCACGTTGTGCAACTCTTTTAGTTTTAGGTTACATCACATCCACACCTGTTATATCATATCGACCTTTAGACAGCTATAAATTAGCTACACGTTACATGTTGACAATTTCATAACACGCATATACCGTATACTCAAACTAGTTTTAGTTGTTGGATGTAACTGATGTAACACTAGTGTGATTGTGTCCTTTAAACGAGGTAATAATGCATAACGCCGTTTATGTAAGTCTTTGAAAAGGAGCCCTTCTGCTGTAAACTGTTCCCTGTTTCTTTGAATGCCACTAGGTGGCTTAATTTCTTTCAAACAGAAGCTGTGTCTGATATTTTGGTAACAGCTGCATACACGTCATCCAAATTTGAAGTAATTAAAATTATACGGTTAATGGTTAGAATAATCGCTATATAATTGGGCTTTATTCATTTCTATATTAAGATCACGGCAGTTATTTTAATGATTTTAGTTCTGCTACTACCTACAATATCAATAGCCTGATAACAACAAAATAATAATGAACACGGTATAGTCCTAGTTAAACATTCTGGATATTCTAGATCTGGTGGCCATACAAAACGCATTCAGAAAGTTTCACTGTAAGCATTTTTAGTAGGCTATAAAAATACACTTTTTAAAGGTCGCCGACAAGGTTTTCTTCAACTGAACTATAGGACTCCCCACTCTGTATACTAGCCTACTGTTCATTCTGATGGAGTCGTTATTGCTTATGTCAAACAGACTGCTATTAAAGGCGAGCGATTCATTGGCACAAATCAGAAGATGCTGTATTTGGATTGGTCGCGAGATGTGCCAGTCAATGGACGCTGCCAATGCACTTCTGTAGTGACCTACTAACACAGATCCATGAGGCACTCCGGCAGGAGAACGCATAGGAGAAACAAGTATTATTTCCAGATGGGCTTTTATTACTGCTGATGAAACACTTCTGTGCGCTTTGAATGTTTTTATATGCATTATTTATCCCGGACATCCATCTACTTGGACCTTTACTTATAAGAGGTAAATGCTTTCTTCTTTTACCGTGAGGCTTACATGAAACGGATAGGGCTCGTTTGGGGTGTTTCAACCGGTAGCCGGTATATGGGCTATAACGGATTAATACAGTAAGGCAACTTTCAACGTGGTCTATTTTCAATATGTGCTCCATACTTATTTTTCGCACAACATCATATCAGTGCAGACACGTTTTAGTGTTTAACCTAAACGCTTATGGAATTATACAGTGCCATATTTTTGTACAGCACATTACTATGATATTTTTGAAAATCAAAACATAATAGGGGCATTGGGAGACGGGGTGGCACAGTGACCCACTATTCGTTGCGGGTGGGTGTATCAGGCTCTCGGGTCAATGCATCATACATTTAAACCTTATGCAATTTAATATAATTTAACATTAAATGATATTATAGCTAGATCTGTGGTTTTAACGTGTTACATTCGTACTGAATTTTGCAGTTGCTTTAATAGTAGGCTAAATGTTACGTACAAGAATGTCAGTTTCTCTCCGTGCATTTATTGTGTAACAGTGACTGATCATCTTACAGTCCTTGCACAATAACGGAAGCTGGGACAATTCTGACATAAAGACTGCAACGGCACGACATCAGAAACGAGCGGCTGTTTAATGCGCAGCGATAGCTGTTATTTATTCTGACCATCTGTAAAAAACGATATCTTTAATTTATCGCTAAGGTGAATGTTTCACGCGCACAGATCAGACTGTCATGAGTGTCTGTGTCGGGATGGGGTGAATGCATTATTAAAGGCCTGTCAAATAACAACACAGCAAGGGTATGGTGTGTGTATATACGCCTTTGCACTGGAGGTAGCATTTTAAACGCGATTTAAGTGTAAAATTATCACTTCAAGCCAGCCAACTTTGTTGTAGCCATCTTTTTATTATTCCTTGGAGACGCAGCCATGGTTGAATCCCAAAACCATAACACTCACGCATGAGTGTTATGAAAAAATAATGTGTTGCTATGAACCATTATAGCAGAAATAATACAAGCCCTTTCATTGTTTATCGAGTTGCGAGATGTCTCAGTCACATTTTCTAGCGCCCTTTTATTGATTCATTTGTCTCTGTTCAGCCACGTGTGATGCTGGCTGCTGGCATTCCTTTGTTCCCTGCGCTTTAGTCTGCGCCTGTACTGGAGCCTAAATTCAAGACTGTGTTTACAATCTGTTATAGTGTTATGATCGAGCGCACTCCTGAGTTACTACGGAAAACTTAAGTTTATGGCCACAGCCAAGTTTAGATGAGGTCATTCCAGCTGTTTGATCTGCACGTTAAAGGTCATTGTCAGGTCTTCTGCAACGTTGTGAACTAATACCCTACTTCTTCGAAAGGGTTGCCAGATTTGAATGTAATCACGACCAAATAATATTACATTATGCGTTTGAAAGCGTGAGCTGTTGCATTACTTTGAGCATGCGACCCGCCTCAAAAATGGTGACATAATGAGGCAGAGCATAATTTGAAGATTACAGTACGTTTTAATAGTCATGTTTCGACTTGCGTGACATCACGATGTAAAACTTTTTATATTTCCTGTCCCGTCTTTTTAAAAATAGAAACACTGTGCACACTGCTATTTTTCTCTCTTCCCTAAAAATTATTTCCCCCGATGATAATATTTCAGGCTTTTCAGCAATCACGTCCAGTGTGTTTTCTATCAGCTGTTTATGATCAGAACTACAGACCGCGAATGAATCACTCTGATGTAATTGGTCAAATGGGTTTGCAAAAACATCTGAAATCTGAAATAGTTGGCAATTCATTCCAACACATTTACAGCGGTTTCTCACACAGTAATGAGATACGTTATAAGCCAGAAAACAAAAAGATTGCTGGATGTGTTGGATATTTACATACAACCAATTGTAGGAAACAAAACTTGCAAATGTCTTCTATCCTTTGTGAACGATAATGCAGCTCTTTAGTTATATGCATAACCAGATCAAAATATGGGGGCACTTTTTTGATTGAAGTGTCTAATGTGTCTCTGTTTTTATCTCACCAGATCCATTACAAAATTCTCTGGAACTGACTTCACAAAAGAGGACACATGACTTCTATAGCACTCGGTCTACAATGAGATGTCTACTTAAAACCAGAGTCAACTAATGAGCTTATGCAGTCTTGATGACCACATTGTGTAATATGCAAGCCATTAAGAAGGAGCCCTCATGCACTGGGCCCTTCGGTGGAGAGGATGCCTTGGTGCTGGCGGTGGCTTTGCCAGGGACAGACAGGGACATGATTAACCACGAGCTGTCCACCATGCCCTTTAAGAACAAGTCCACCAACTGTCGCAGAAAACGCGAGTTCATACCGAACGAGAAGAAAGACAACTTATATTGGGAAAGGAGGCGCAAGAACAATGAGGCAGCCAAACGTTCACGAGAAAAGCGCCGACTCAATGATATGGTTCTGGAGAACAAGCTCATGGCCCTCGGGGAAGAGAACGCATCGCTGAAAGCCGAGCTTCTGTCGCTTAAACTCAGGTTTGGCTTAGTGAGCTCAGCAGTCTATGCTCAGGAGGTGCAGAAAATTTCCAGTTCCACTGCTGCACTCTACCAGGACTTTATCACACCCAGTGCCACCAATGGTTCCTACCCAAGTGAGCTCGAGCCAGCACGTTTAACCAGCAGCCACATATCAGTCATCAAGCACTCACCTCACAGCGCCTTGTCCGATGGATCCGACTCAAGTATGGTCACCCAGGGGAGCCCACTTATAAATATATCCCGAACCCCTGACAGCATCAAACAAGAACCCCTGGAAACCGGCAGATACGCCAAAGACAGGGCAATTCCATATGAACTGTACAGGAACTACCTTAGTAGCCATTTCCCTGGGAGCTACTCCCAGCCGTCGCCGTTCTTGCAAATCGCCAGATCATCTAGCAATTCTCCACGAACATCTGACGGTGATGATGGGGCCATAAGCAAGTCCTCAGATGGAGAGGATGAACAGCAGGTCCCGAAGGGTCCGGTTCCACCCAGGGCCGATTCACAGAGTGTGATTGTGTCGACCCTCAAAGTGCCAGATGTCAGTGCCTCAGCTTTGCCCCACAAGTTGAGGATCAAAGCCCGGGCCATCCAGATCAAAGTGGAGGCTATTGATCCCGACTATGAATCATCTGGCAAGTCCTCCTTTCCCATTGACATGTCTGCAAGTAGATGCTACCAAATGAGTCAGTACGTTACACCCGAGTACATTCAGTCATCTTTGAGCCCGATGTCCTTCCAGATGACCGATGTTCAGGACTGGAGTCAGCAGGCGAAGGAATGGCACAAAGATCACCAGGAGGAACCAACTAACTGCAAAAAACGGCACTGTCCAGACTCACCGAGAGCTATGCCTAACAAACTCATCGCCGACCTTAAAAACGACTCGTATGCTAGCTCCGAATCTGAGAACTTGTACTTGAAACAGGGCATTGCTGATCTGTCGGCAGAAGTGGCCTCCTTGAAAAGACTGATTACAAAACAGCAGGGGTCTGTTATTGAGTCCACGAAAAGCACTACTGAAATTGACTCATTATGAAAAAGACGTTTCTGAAACTAAGTTCCCTCTATTTGCACAATGCCTGTTTTCCACTGTGTTCGCTACTGCACTGTGCGGTTGTTATGGTGTCAAAGAGCTGCTCTTCATTGAGAAGAATGGTGTTTTGTGCACTTACTGTTGTAGTTTGGCGTGTCTTCTTGATGACTCCATTTGAAGCCCAAAAATTGGGCTACTGTTGATGTTAACTTCTCAAAATGTATTGTACATTGTATGTTCTCTTTTGTTTACAATAAATGCAAGCACTGAAATACTTGAGTCTTTTCCATCTTCCTTATTTAGCAAAGTATATAAATTGTATCCAAAATTTTACAAGAATATTAACTCTTGAATATTAACTATTCTGAGGAAATACCTAAAATGGTCACACAATTCTCAACTGTAGCTATAGAATATAACAACAGATATAATTCTTTATAACTCTGAGTGCTCATTAATGCAGTGTGTAAGTGAGCAAATAACATTTACTGAATAAGATGTCTTAAAAGAACCTGATAATATGTTGAATCATCTCATGAATAATTGTAATAACAGTTATAATACATTATAATACTTACCTATTTGTGGTTATATTTTTTTTTAAATGATGATTTACAACACACAATGAACACACTGTATGCTCTTAAGCCACAAAGGATTATAGTTTTCATAGTTATAATGTTTAAGATTATGTCTTGATGGTTTAAGATCTACACAATATATTTTTATGAGTGGTCATTTACTGTAAAAAGTTTCGAACACAGAGCCTTCTTTTAAACATCCAAATGGCTTTGTAATGTTGTCATAATATTTATGTGGTCTTTGTCTGCCTTAAAGGGATACTCCACCCCAAAATGAACATTTTGCCATTAATCACTTACCCCCATGTCGTTCCAAACCCCTAAAAGCTTTGTTCATCTTCGAAACACAATTTAAGATATTTTGGATGAAAACCGGGAGGCTTGTGACTGTCCCATTGACTGCCAAGTAAATTACACTGTCAAGGTCCAGAAAGGTCCTCTGTGTCTCTCCGCATCACCGTAGCGCCATTTTGGAGAATAACCACTGAACACAAGCAGCGTACGCTATTCTGTGTCAGCCGCGCTGCACGGATGCGCTGTTTTCATTCAAATCAAAGCGTTAAAAAAAGCGTACACGTAGAAAACGGCTTTGCGGCTGACACAGAATAGCGTACGCTGCTTGTGTTCAGTGGTTATTCTCCAAAATGGCGCTACAGTGATGCAGAGAAACACAGAGAAGACGAATTGTTGAATAAAGTCTATATTTTTGTTTTCTTCGCATACAAAAAGTATTCTCGTTGCTTCGGTTGAACCACTGATGGCAGATGGACTATTCTGACGATGTCTTTCATACTTTTCTGGACCTTGACAGTGTAATTTACTTGGCAGTCAATGGGGCAGTCCCAAGCCTCCCGGTTTTCATCCAAAATATCTTAAATTGTGTTCCGAAGACGAACAAAGCTTTTATGGGTTTGGAACGACATGGGGGTAAGTGATTAATGACAACATTATAATTTTGGGGTGGAGTATCCCTTTAAGTAAAGTAACAGGTAAAATTAAGTCTTCTTTTAAACAGAATATATCATGAATGGGTTATATTGCACATTTGCTGTATTTATTGTAATATCAACACAGTTATATTGCACTGTTTCAGATGTTAAATGCTAGCATGAGTTGAACTACCACACAGTAAAATTTACATTAGAAACACTCAAATCTGAACAACCACCCCAACTACTGTTAAGATTTATTAAAACAATATGCAGATCTTTACCAATGTCAAGATATGAGCCTTATAATACATGATAACTATTATACATTATGCATATATTTTAATGTGTTAAGAATAATGCATTATAGATGCAGGCTTCATAGAAAGTTATAATATAAGTTATTAAAACATTAATAGCAAAATGAAACAATGTGTGACTTTCTGTAAGGACAATATTAGGGAGACTAGGTCATCAGTTAGAGGTGACTGTTCCACTAAATTTAAGAAAACTGTCTTTGGACAACCACATTTTTTCAGGTAGAGCAGCAGAAAGATGGACTTCATTACCCGTTTACATTAGAGATTAGAGAGTGTACAACATTTTGTATTTTTAAAACTAAACTTAAAGTATGGCTAAAGGAAAACCATGTGATCACTAAGTATGATGTGATATTGCATGTATTGTATTGTGTGTGATGGACTATTGTAATTTTGTAACAACATCCTGCCCTGGGACTGCAGATGCAATACACTTGTGTTGTGCATGGTCCCTGTTAAATAAATGAAATAAACTTAAAAAAAAAGAAAAGAAAACCAAAAACATGGAACACATATGTCCAGCAAACCATGTTTTTCCATGCTGAGGGTGAACCTATAACATTCTCTAGGCAGTAAACCTCGTTAGTCTTATATAGGTTTGCAAATATTTTTCATAATGAGGAAACTTTGCATACTATATGCAGAGGCGGACAAAGTACTCAACTCCATTACTTGAGTGAAAGTACAGATACTGCTGGTCAAATATTACTCCATTACAAGTAAAAGTTGTAAAGACAGATTTTTACTTAAGTAAAAGTACAGAAGTACTTGCTTTTAAAAGTACTTAAGTACCAAAAGTAAATTTCCTTTTTTATGTCAATGCACTGTTTTATTGTTGTAAGACAATATTGTGTCTAATACAAAACCACAATATTAACTTCTTATTATTGAATTGTTGTAAATAAATATTACATTTGGAACTGGTCAGTGCTCAAAAAACGATGGGAAATCACTTAATGTAGCCCCAAGAGTGATTACTGATAAACTGGCAGAAAAAAAAGAGTTTTTAGAGAAGAAAAAAAATCACCCACTGACTTTCAAAGCTGCTAACGACTTTCTACTTCGAGGATCTTGATAGAAATGTAGTGGAGTGAAAAGTACAACATTTGTCTTTCAAATGTAGTGAAGTTAAAGTCATAAGTTTCCAGAAAAAATAATACTCAAGTAAATGTACTTAGTTACTGTCCACCTCTGACTATATACTTGACATTGCGTACAATGCATGTTGTTGGCTCTTGTGAGGAATCATACGCCAAAATGCTAGATTTGTAACTCGCGTATGCTAAATGAGTAAAGCTAAATGTCAATGACAAATGGCGTACAGGTTTTTTATAAATTTACCATATGAATTGTGTATAAGCTGTATATTTTACCTAAAGATCAAGCCGTCGTGTCAGATCCCTCCGTGTTTCCTAAGAGAGAAATCCCGCCGCCGCGGTCGCGTGACCTGAAACAGACACGTGACCTGAAACAGACACGTGACTCGCGGTTCGGAGTTGAAAGTCGAGGAAGGCTGCAGCATGGCGGCTTTAGTGAAGTGCAGAGCGCTGTTTCAGCCTCTCCGATCGCAGATGAACGTGATCAGCGGCGTCTGCAGATCGGACGGTGTTTTGCACTCATTTCGACTGCACAGCTCCGACGTTAAGTCTGCAGATGACCTTATCGTTAGGTACTTGGACGGTGATGACTCAGGTAGAGCACAAGTAACCGAATGATTGATCACAGAGTTTGTGTTGCGGGTTCATATGCAATGCAGACGCGTTACTCTGCAGCTTCTCTCATAATGCCCCATCATTATTTAACCGTTTCAGTGCCCTGTTACTGTTAATGCCTGAGTTTAGAAATCCAAATCTGCCCAATACTCTCAAAATTATTAAATGTTCCTAACTAATATTAGACTTTCTTGTCACTTCAAGGGTCTGTTTTAGTTGTGATTTTTCATAAATTTTCTTGCAATTTGTCAACTGTTTATTGTAGTGTAACTGTTCTTGTGTTTTAGGGATTGTTGTTTTGGGGATTAATCGCCCTCAATCTAAAAATGCCATCAGCAAAAATCTTGTTACAATGGTGAGTATTTTTACAATGTTACTTGTCAAAATGTAATAGTTAATCACTCTTGGCCACTACATGACTACCTAATACTTAAAAAAAAAAAAATGTCAAGAAGAAATTCGTTCTTTTGTTTTGTTTTTGTTTTTTTTTGACTTTTGCTGTTTTTATTTTTTAAGTGTTGTTGTCTTTGTTTTTTTCTGTCAAGATATTTTGTGTTTTGCTTGTTTTGTTTTGCTAGTCTTTTAATGTTGGTGTTTGTTTGGGTGAGATGCATGGCTCACATGTTTGTTTGTTTGTCTGTTTCAGGGTTCTCTCTGGGATCTCTGCGTTGCCAAACCCTCGAGCCTCACCTGTCACCCAGAACTGGAACTCCTCCTGCCGTGAAGTCCATTGTTCAATTTTATATCAATTAATATAGCTTATCATTATATTAAAAAATCAATTAACACAGATGTTTCCGTTTAAATTATGCTCAATGGGTTCTGTTGACAATGTTCGCAGCTAAACGTTTAATTAAATCAGTAAATTAGTTTTTAACTTGAAACCATTGATTTGTTTAAGTTGTGGTAACAGGTCTCTGAATTTCTTTAGAGTGTACTATGGTTCATGGAAAGTATATTCCTTACAGCAGTGGACCCGAAATCTGGCCATGTGTCTCCTTCCATCGTCTCAAACGTTAGAATTTGATTCGATAGCACATGAGAGCTATGACGTACATAATATCCCCCTTTTTATGATTTGTTTTGTTTTTGCTAGATGTCAGAAGCTCTCGAGTCACTGAAGAAGGACAACGAAGTGCGTACTGTAGTTTTGTGCAGTATGGTGCCTGGGATATTCTGCGCAGGTATATTTAGCCAATGAAGTGTTTAATGCAAATTGCATACAACTGTACAGGGTATGACTGGATTGTGTGGGTTACACCAACATTCAGCTGTATTGTTGGTATGACATTATTGGTTGCGCACAGGTTTGGTTAAGTCAAAAGAAGTTGGGTACATGGGTGGATAAAGTTGTTACTTTTTTGCTGAAAGACTGAAAACAAACATGGCCAACAAACATACATTCTGATTAAACCATGCTTATTTATTAAAAGGGATAATTGAAGTAAAATTGACGTAAATTTGCCTTTAAATCTGACCAGGCAAACCAATGTGAATGTACCAACCATTGCCCATGTCGTTACAGTTTCATTATTTCAAGCATACAGATCTTTGAACTAAAATCGGCTGATATTCAATGTCTTTCACAAGAACACAACTTTGCATCAACGCATGTTTGTCTAAACAGGCGCAGACTTAAAAGAAAGAGCAAAGATGCAGCAGAGTGAAGTAGGACCATTTGTTACTAAAGCAAGAACACTAATAACAGAACTTGGTAAGTTAAACCACTTAAAACTTGAAATCTTAATAGGTATTCCTCAAATTTATTTGATATTGCCAGTTATTTAACCAAACAGCTAATATTTATAAGTTAGCACCATGAGAGAATTTCATACAGTCACATTATGCTTAAGGTCATTGTGAAATTGTACAATGTAAATAGTAGTTGCAGAGATAATGTTTTGAAGAGTTCATTTAATTATTAATAAACGGGTAATGTATTTTACATCCTATTAGCTATCATTGCTTGTTATTACAGCCCCATTATTTCATCCAATGGAAACCCTGCTCTCTAGAGATCAGCTCAGCCATTAAAAACAAACAATTGACTGCAAATTAGAAAAGTGCTGACATATGAGAACTTCATTTAATGGTTAATCCATTTTTAGGCATTTGATGAAATGTTTTAGGTACTCTTCCCATGCCAACGATTGCAGCCATTGATGGGGCGGCTCTTGGAGGAGGTCTTGAAATGGCTCTTGCCTGTGACATCAGAGTGGCAGGTAGAGCATGTGGTTCATCTCATGACTTTATATGAACACAAGCTGTAGCTGATTCACACAGTTCAAAAGGCATGATCTTAATTAAATACAGAAAGTTATTATTGGCACATGCTTCGAGTGTAAATCCATATTAGAGATACTCAAGCTGGTTATACTGTAGTTCAGCTCCACTGGAAATCAGGACAAGTGTGGGATCAACAACAACCTAAAATGATTTAAAGGGGTCATGACATGGATATATATATTTTTTTTAATATGGTCCTCCATTTACTTATGTAAGTTTTTTGCACAAAAAAAAAAATATATATATATATATATATATATATATGTGTGTGTGGAAAAATTAAAATTGTCAACCTTCATTCTGATCCTCTGTCTAAAATGACCTGTTTTAAGGGGCGTGTACTTTAAGGCTTGTCGGGAATCAGCCACTGTTATGATTGGCTAATGTCACTGCATAAGAAACAGCAGTATTAAGCTGCAGTCAGATCTAGTGCTGCTTCATCTTTCGACAAATGTTTCTTTGTGAACTCTCCATGACACTGTGCCTCGTTTACAAAACAAAAAAATCCTCTGCACAATCCTCCGACACGATCCGGAGTGTTTGTTCCTTACGAGCTGTTTAAAGGGGTCATATGATGTTGCTAAAAACAGATCTTATCTATGCACGAACAGCTTGTAATACTCCGAAGAGAAAGGAAAACTTGAAATCGCATCATATGACCCCTTTAAACCAAACGCGTCAAAGTGAACGATTTTTCACTGCACTTCTCCTGACGACAGACTCGAGCGTGGACTGAGTCAGAAAGTGAACGCACATCTGTTTACTGTATCCAGTGTAGACGAGATAGCGACAGTGATTGTCATTTCTGTTTGCTTTTGACGCGACACTCGCTTTCAGCGTAATCAAGTGTCAGCCGCTAAGCTAGTGAACTCCAGTGGGCGGGGCCTATGGTGAGAAGACTGTTCGTCGATGTCTTGCTCTGGAGGCGGTGTTTATGCAAATGACTAGGGATGTCACCCTGAACCTCAGATCCAAAACAAGCCGTTTTTGGAGCTTGATTAAATAAATGCTTTGTTTATTAACGAGGAGGACATTTTAAGCTATGACACTTGCAGGATGTTTTAATCGTTCAAAGATCTCTTATATGCCAAATGATCAAGGCGAATTTGATTTCTCATGTCATGACCCCTTTAATGGTTTTATTAGTGTATCTTGGTTCACTCAGTGTTGTGAATTAACATGTCTTCATTATGCTGTCAGATAGCAGATGGCTTTTTTCATGCGTTCTCCTCTCACACTCAGATTTAGATTTAGGAAATCTGTGCATGATGCTATAACAGGTCTCCTGCACTTCTTCAAATGCATTTCACACCATATGTTTTCACACAAGGCACCTTTTTTCAAATATGGATATTTATGGTCTATATTCAGTGTAATTGCACACTGACTCAAAGTTGTGCTGCTGTAACAAATTTAGAAATTATAGAATGCTTTAAGAATAACTAAGTATTACAAAAAATTAATGCAGAGTATTATTTAGTGTTCTTTTCAGATGCCTCTGAAATAGTTTTCATGGTTTCAAACTGTGAAATAAACTGGCTGCCTTTAAGTATTTTGGAAGGAGTGAGAACTAAACATAACGGTTCATATTTAATGCGCAGAAAAAAAACTTGTTTGTGAAATTTAATTTTTACATTTATGCATGTGGAAGTTTTTTTTATCCAAAGCAAATTAAACTACTTTCACTTGTTGATGAGTTTATTTATCAGTATGTGCTGTTCAGTGTCACAAGAAAGTAACTATTTATAACTAAAGTATTAGTTATTGATAAAACAAAATGTCTTTTAATTGGAGCACAGTTAGTATGAGTATTGTATTCTTTATAATATTGTATGCATCATAAACCTGATTATTTTATCGCTGTTTACCTGATTTAAAATGTGTGATTTCTGAAGGCATTCATATGTTTCAGGGTCTTCTGAGATTTATCTCTTTGAAAACAAATAGGTTAACTGATTCTCCACACTTTGACCTCTTTTACAGCCAGCTCTGCTAAGATGGGACTAGTTGAGACTAAATTAGCCATCATCCCAGGCGCTGGTAAGTGCCTCTGTCTATATTTGTAATTAGTTCTAAAAATCTAAAAATTGTGTGATCAGTTGTATTCTTTATTATTTTGGCGTTGAAACCAAAGCGGATATTCAAATACTAAACAGCCATAAAAAGAGTACAGTGAGCAAGAACAGTGCGATGATCTCGCTGTAAATGATTGAATGAATTCAGATTCACCCATTCAGAGGTTCTCAGTTAGTATGCTGCCTTACAGGCAGTTGTCAATGTAGACCGTCGCAAGTCATTTAGGCAATAAAATACATTTTGTTTGTCAAGTGTTTCGGTAAAGTTTAATTGGAAACTTCTGTGCATCCCTTTTTATTGAATCATATCATGAGACCTATAAGGCAGCTTACTAGGTTGTATCTCATAACAAACTGGGCCAAATACTTCCAACTGCCACGAAAAGGAACACAGAACACAATAAAATTATTATTCAAAGACACGTTTTCTTTCAAACTTCTGTGCATAATTTCCTGGAGTTGCTATTTTGTTTCAGTTATAGCTTTGTAAAGTTCTAAAGTTAGAATAGCAGCAGAAATGTAAATATTTCTGATGTGCCTTTCAAGCTGCATAGTGCAAGATTTGTGCTCCAAATTCAAGAGTATATTATAATCATATATTATTAAAAGATCTAGAAAAATAATGCGGATGCTTTGTGGTTGTCTTAATGTAACATATCTATTAATGTGGAAAACCACACCTCTGGTTACACCTCTTTGAATTGAGTTAATCTGTTCACTAAAATCATCTTGACATTGCCAAAATGCAAAGAAAATCTATGTTATTTTGCGAGAGAATGACGTTGTTTGTTTGCAGATGTCACTGCATTAGATAACAAAATCAAACCAGGTGCCATTTAGAAATGTTCAAGTGTCCAAATACTTTTGGGGCCACTGTAGCTCATAAGATACAGGACTATTCTGCAGCAGACAGATTTATGATTTGTTGGATGAAGGCAAAACCAGTGGCATGTTTTCCAGGTCCCTATCTAGGTACATGTGGTTAAGATGGAAAGTATCTGTGTTTCAGTATATAGTGTCAGTCCAGACAGCCGTTGAGGTTATCACTCAAGGCTTGACCTGCAGCCAGAGGGGTTTCTGTCTTCAGGATGAAAATAGGTCACCAGAGCTTTGGCACCCGCCCAACCAGCCAGAGCTTTATTAGGCTGAGAGACCCTGGAAAAACAGTGGCGAAGACGTCAGGACTAGACCTTTTTTTTTTTTGGTTCGGTGTTGTGCTGTTTTGAACCAATTTGTTTGACCTGTTATCTGAAGATGTGAACGTCGCATCTTTGCGGACAGCTGAAACATTTTATTTACTGGAACGCAGGATGAGTTACAATTCTGCTTTTTTGTAACAATGGCCAAAAAAAAAAAGAAAAAAAAGTTGTCTGTAATGGAGGAGACTCTTTTTAGTGAATGACCACCTAACTTTCAATCTTCCTTCAAAAAATATTGCATGTGAGACGTGGACTACGTTTAAAGGGGTCATGACATGGATTTTTTAAAATTATTTTAATGTTCCTTGAGGAACCTTTCATGTTTTTTTTATTTATTATTATGTTCCTTGAGGTTTACTTATAATGTTAATAAAGTTTTTTTTGAACAAACAAAAACATAAATATATGGAAAAATTATAATTGTCAACCCTCATTCTGATCCTCTGTCTAAAACAACCTGTTTTAAGGGGTGTGTCCTTTAAAGGGGTCATATGATGCGATTTCAATTGTTTCTTTCTCTTTGGAGTGTTACAAGCTCTTGGTGCATAAAGAAGATCTGTAAAGTTGCAAAGACTAAAGTCTCAAATCCAAAGAGATATTCTTTATAAAAGTTAAGAGTCAGTCACACCTACCTAAAACGCCTCGTTCTAACACGCCCCCACATGTCTCGGAAGGAGGGACTTTGTAGAAAACGAGCTTTGTAGAAAACGACGGGCATAGAGGACCTACAATAATGTACAGTATTTGAAAAATAATGTGTTTTTTGAACATTAAAGCATGTCAACATATTCTGTTACACCAAATACACAAAATAATGATCTTTAAAAAAGCATCATATGACCCCTTTAAGGCTTGTCAGTAATCGGCCACGGTTATGATTGGCTAATGTCACTGCATAGGAGACTGTATCAAAGCCCCTCGCTATTGCATGTGTTTTGACAACATAATCCAAATAAAACGGTCATTTCAAGACCGAGCATTATGAAATCATTTACTTATGGTTTGTGATGCAGCTGCAGTCAGATCTAGTGCTGCTTCATCTTTCAACAAATGTTTCTTTGTGAACTCTCCATGACACTGTGCCTCGTTTACAAAACAAAATCCTCCGACACGATCCGGGGTGTTTGTTCCTTACGCTGGGATCTTTCTGATATCTGTACAAAGATGTGAACAAGCTGTTTAAACCAAACGCGTCAAAGTGAACGATTTTTCACTGCACTTCTCCTGACGACAGACTCGAGCGTGGACTGAGTCAGAAAGTGAACGCACATCTGTTTACTGTATCCAGTGTAGACGAGATAGCGACAGTGACTGTCATTTCTGTTTGCTTTTGACGCGACACTCACTTTCAGCGTAATCAAAATCAAGTGTCAGCTGACTGAACACCAGTGGGCGGGGCCTATGGTGAGAAGAAAACTATACGTCGATGTCTTGCTCTGGAGGCGGTGTTTATGCAAATAAATAGTGATGTCACCCTGCACCTCAAATCCAGAACGAGCCGTTTTTGGAGCTTGATTAAATAAATGCTTTGCTTATAACGAGGAGGACACTTTAAGCTATGAAACCTGCAGGCTGTTTTAATCTTACAAAGACCTCTTATATGCCAAAATATCAAGGCAAATTTGATTTCTCATGTCATGACCCCTTTAAGGTTCTTTTATTGTGTGTTGTGTGTATAGGTTTTTGGAGCCATGGTCACTACTACCTATTATTGAATGGATAAAGGACCATTGAGTAAATGATGACAGAACTTTGATTTCTGGTTGAATTACTTCAGACCTGCGGTGGTTTCCCTCTGCTTTGAGTCAGGGCATGTTCCTTTTAGCGCTCTGTTGATAATGTGTAATGCTTGCTTGCTACTCCAAAGATAATTATTTAATTGGCTCCCTGATTACCAAAGAGTGCTTGATTGGTAGCATTTGGAAAATTGCAAAACAGCAAAGGATATTGTAATTTTCCACATGAAGTCTTGAGTTGTTTGAGTAGTGTTTGATAAATCAACATTTCCAGTTATGGGTGCTGAATTCAAGAGTATATGGGAGCGTAGCCTGTGGCTGACTCAATCATGCCAGCCTCTTCACCGCATGAAGCTCATTTCCAATGACTCAGCACATAGTGGGGTCAGAATAGCAAGGAATATTCACACCCTGGACTGACAAATCACATGGCCACGTGCCTTTAGCACACATCAACATGCCAATGGGGAAGACAAGGGTGACTGGGATTTGGGCCTTCCTTTGAGATTTTGTCGATCATAACAAAATTAGTCTTTGCGACAATCGAAATGCTTCCATCAGTGGAGATTTTAATATTATTTATACCATGGCATCGTCTATTAGAAGGAAACTCATTTCCAGTTCTAGCGTATGAGGCATTGGTGACCAAAGCACAGAAAGCCAGTCATGAGGAAGCAGCGGTAACACTATTGAGAATGAGGAAGATCAGGTATGACTATCCACTGGAGACTCGAGAGGACAGAGCCAGCTTCACCGCTTGAGTTCACAACCTGTTTGGCCCTTACAAAGTGAAATATGAATTCTGGGTAATGTGGGGACTTGTCTACTGTTGTATGGCATCAAGTTGTTAGTGACCAGCTGAAGGATTTGTGACTTCCATTGTGAAACCAGTCATAAGGGTCTTTTTTATATACGTATTAGATTCATACATTATCTATTAAGATAAGCTTTCCATTGATGTATGGTTTGTTAGGATAGGACAATATTTGGCTGAGATACAACTATTTGAAAATTGTGAATCTAAGGTTGCAAAAAAATCTAAATATTGAGAAAATCGCATTTAAAGTTGTCCAAATTAAGTTATTGGCAATGCATATGACTAATCAAAAATTAAGTTTTTATATATTAACAGTAGGACATTTACAAAATATCTTTATGGAACATGGTCTTTACTTAATATCTAAAGATTTTTTGGCATAAAAGAAAAATCAATCATTTTGACCCATACAATGTATTGTTGGCTATTGCTACAAATATCCCCCAGCGACTGGTTTTGTGCTCCAGGGTCACATTTATGTTGACCGGTCAAGCATTTATAAGAAAACAAAGAAGTTGTTTCCTCCGAGCAACAATAATTGCAGCCATTTCAAGCGCAAATGCCAGTAATTTGACGAGCGCAAACATTAGTAAAGCGCATTTGAATACTCTCCTCCCGTAACTTTCGCGTCTGAAAGGGGAACTCCTACAAATACATATTCAATAAGTTCAGGCGCAAAAATAACAGTCCACACCTTTTCAGCGCTAATTGGTCACTGCGCGTCTTTACTAAAACCTGACAGTACTATTTTAACACCAAAAGACGGTTTGCTCTGACGCAAGCTGTTAGTAAAACTGGCCCATAGTGCTGCATATGTGATGCAAACATCAATGTTGTTTACAAAACGTTCACTATATGGTAAAACCATTTTGAGGACATAGCATAACAAAAATAAGTGTTTAGTAATCAATAATTTGCCCCCTTAATCATAATCTGTGTGAAATGGAATAGACATGATGGCGTTTGATTCTAGTGTATATTTTCTGGAAACTATCAATTGTATTTATAGGTGTGTTTTTGAAAATGTAGATTGAGGCACATATTTCCAGTAAAACTAGGCTGAGATTGTAAGATCTACTGTTTTGCTCCATTTGCATGTGCAAATTGCAGTTAGCTGTTCTGACAAAGTTACTTTTGTTCATTTGCAGATGTAATATACAATATCTCAATCGTAATCCATCCTAGTTGTGTGGTTTCAGAATAAATCGTCACC